CCAAAAAAAAAGGAAATATAAAGATTATGGTAAAATATATCTGAATTAAAATTACTTCTTCTTGCCCACTCTATTTTTGTAATATCATTTTATTGTAAGGTTGATGCTGTTTTTTCTTGTGGAAATTTTTACACTTTTGCCTTTAGTTTAATTGAGTGCTATTATTCCATATGATTTAAGTGTCTTCCAAAAAAGTCTTCCAAGACTATTTATTTTTAAATTATTTACTAACTTTATTTACTCATTTATTATCTTTAAAAATTTGCTATAGGGCACATATGCTTTACCAGAGAAAGATACAGAGAGGGAGAAAGGGAGGAAGAGCAAGAAAGCAAGCTACCAGGTCTGGGACTCGAAACGTGGCCAGCCATGTAGGAGTCAGAAGTCCAGCACCTTAACCACCAAGCCACATGCTGGCCCCCTTCCAAGGGTATTACAATCCCACTCAGTGAATAAGCTATCTCTTTCTCTTCTTGAAATTGCCAAAATGTCTCCCAAGAATGATTTATATCTTATAAAGAAGCCTTTTACCTGAACAACCATCAATAAATGTGAAACGTACCTGGTCTTTCATTCTTGCTTTTCTTGGTAATGTAACTGTATTTAACTCTGATTCTGCAGAAATTCTTCTTAGTTCATGTTCAACTCTGTGCATATTTTCATTTAGTGCTGCTTCTACTTTTCCTGTGGATGGTGCTGGGGATGAACATGCTGAATCAGCAGGTTGGGGAGATATGCTCTCTCTTCTGTTAGTCCTGTCATTGTCATCATCATCATCACTGGACAAAATGACTAAGAGCATAAAAAATTGTATAACTTATATTAAAATTATATTTATAACGATGCAAATTTCTATTAATTAAAAATGAAGTTAACACAGTAAGAAATGTATCAAATTTGCTTTGGATTACCTCCAAATTTGAGATTAGTAAAAATGGATTAAGTATAATCCACTCTGATGAAAAGATAAATGTGAAGATGCCATTATTCTTTACCACTTACACAACATCAGCAATTTACAAAGAATTAAGTATTTATCAGGAGGTTTGAAATTTCCAAAAAGTTTAAGATATAAAAACAATCTATATACAAACTGTTCACAAAATAGCATGCATTTGAAATGTATAAGAAACTGTATGGGACCAAATAATTTTATCTCACATAGGAAATCATTAAAATTTTAACTGTTCCTTGGGATAACCTAGTCCTCTCTCTGATGTTCCATAAATCTTGTTAAGTAAATGAAGATGGGCAAAGAAAGGTTTTAGAAAGATAATTAAGTCTTACACCTTGTATTCTTTACTGAACCTTATCAGATTCATCCTAATGTCATAATTCTCAAGAGCCACACACAACACAACTTGAGTCAAATACTACAATAAATTTATTAGGTCGTTGAAAAAGTTCTAACATACTTTTCTATGCAAAAATGCATCATGACTTTTCCAACAACCAATACATAATCTGGTCCCTGCCTATTTGTTCAGCTTTCTCATACTACTCTATTCTACTCTCTTCGTGCTTCAAACACATCAACCAATATTTCTGTCCCTGAAATACCATATGCTCATTTCTGCCTAGATTGTACTTCTTTCAATACCCTAAATTTTTGTCATCAAATATTAGCTTAATTTATGTTTTTTTAAAGAACTATTTTATTTAACTTTATCTTTAATTTGACCAGAGAGAGAAAGAAAGAAAGAGAAAGCAAGCTGCCAGGTCCAGGGCTCAAACCCTGGTCAGCCATGTGGGAGTCCAGTGCCCTTAACCATCATGCGACCTGCTGGCCCAATTTACATTTTTTAAAAAGAGACTTTTGCTATAGGGCACATGGGCTCGCCAGAGAGACGAAGTGAGAAATCACTCCTCAAGGGGGAACGGCCATGCTGCAATCCCTTTTCCTCTATTCTCCTCTCAGGATTTTGGCTACACATGCATGCACACGTGTCCAGCCTGAGTTTTAAGCTGTCAGGTCTGGGACCTAAATCGCAATGGACTACATGGAAGTCTAGCAGCATAACCATTACACCACCTGCTGGTCCCTTAACACTTTTTATAAAGATTTTTTGCTATGAGGCACATGCGCTTATCAGAGAGAAACAGACAGAGAAAGAATATGAAAAAATCATCCCCCAGGGGTGATGGCAATGTCACAATCCCTTCTCCATTCTCTAGGGATTTTGGATATGCACACACACGTGCCCACCCTGAGTTTGAAGCCACTGGGTCCAGGACTTGAACGGCAGTCAAGTACATAAGAGTCCAGCGATATAACCATTATGCCATCTTCTGGTCCCAGAACTAATTTTTTTATTAATAGAAAATCTAACAGGTGACAGATTAGAAGGTCTAAGGAGATTTATATAAATTTGAAAGTTTAGGTTTTGCTCATTTGCAAGTCATTTAGCTCGATTTCTCCATGAAATTGGGGACAAAAACGACACTTATTTCACAGGATTGTTATGTGGAGCAAATAAAAGTATGTAAAATGTTTACTACACTGCCTAACTTCAAAAAAATTCTAGAAAAATATGAGTTTATTTTGGTGCCAAAAAATTGAAATCTATGAACTTTTTTATAACATGCATTTCTTGTGAACTTTCAAAGAACATCTCACACATATGCAAAGCGTTAAAAAAAAAGAGTTGGCTTAGTAAGGTAGTTTTTAAATTTGTTTAAAAGATTTTATTATTATTATTATTACTATATATTTTTTATTCAACCAGAGACAGAGAGAGAGAGGAAAAGTGAGAAAGTAAGCTGCCAAGTTCAGGATGTGAACTGTGGTGGCCATGTGGGAGTCCAGCACTCCAACCACCATGCCACTTGCCAGACCTAGTAAGGTAGTTTTCTGGAGGTGGACTGCAGCATGAGGACCCTGCTGGGGATGCCTGTCTCTCTCTCATGGAAAAACTAAACTAAAAGAAAAAAAAAAAAAAACCTAAAACTTAAAGCGTCAATGCTGCAATGTATGGAATTCTACTATGTTATTTTCATTTTATGCACTTAAAATAAAGGTTATACTTAGTGTCACCATAGCTACAAAGCAAATGGGGAAAGTGTGCTCAGATGATACTATATACTGGTTTTACTCTATTGAAAGAAAACTTATTCTATATAAAAATATATTTAGGATCCTCCCTCAGGGTCTGCAATGAATTAAGTTATATCTCACCACCCAAATCTAATCCCAATGTGGTATTATTTGTAGATAATACCTTTAAGAAGGTAGTAAAGGGTAAATGAGTTCATAATTCAATAGGACTGGTGTCCTAAGAAGAGGAAGAGACACTGAAGATCTCCTTTTGCTGGCACAGAGAAGGAAAGGCCACCCATGGACACAGTAGGAAGGTGGCCATATACAAGCCAGGAAGTGGCATCATCAGACACTACTCAGCTGACAGTTTGATCTTGGACTTCCAGTCTCTGCAACTTTGAGAAAACAAGTTTCTTTTCTTTCTTTCAGCTTAGTCTGTGCTATTCTGTTATGGAAGCCTGAACAGATTAATATAGGGTCTGTGTGCTTATATGATATACTCTCATATGTATCAGCATGTCTTCCTGCTTATCTTATTTAGGGATCTATTTATAAGTTATCTTATTAGAGAAAGGTGAATCCTGCCACTAAAATAGCACTCTTCTTCAACATCTGAAAATTGTCGCTCTCCATGCACTGGACTTACTTCATTTTTCTATCTGTAACAATGTACATTTTATTTATGGATCAGCATACCAGAATAAAAGCTGCATGTTTTAAATTATTTTAACAGGAAATATAAATTTAAGAATGATTAAATAATTAAATATATTAAAAAACACTTGAAATCTGAAAAATGTTTTTTTCCTTGAACCATATTCTAGTAGTCCATATATACGTAACATTGAGAAGTTATTCATTTTCCTTAAACTGAGGTTACCTCGTTTATAAAATGAGATGTATTAGTATTGTGTCACAGGAAAAGTCATGATGTATTTTTCTTTGCAAAAATGCACAATGACTGTTCCAACAACCCAATATCTATCTCACATCACTGTAAAAAAAAAAAATTAAAACTGCTTAGTGTATAAATATTTATCACAAGGCAGAGCAACTAGTATATGATAACTGACATCTTTTATTATTAATATGAAATGTTGTTATAATGGAGTGTATTTTTTCATATACTTTAATGGAAAAGTTTATCCTTACCTTTTTTAGAGCTGGGGAGGGATTTATGATTTAATTTTTTTGGAGAGATATTTGCTATAGGATATGTGTGCTCGCCAGAAAGATAAAGAGAGACAGAGATAGAAAGCAAGAAATCACTCCACAGGGGGGAAAGGCCACACCGCAATCCCTTCTCCTCCATTCTCCTCTTAGGATCTTGGGCATGCATGTACACATGCCTGGCATTGAGTTTAAGCCACCGGAGTCCGGGACTCGAACCATGGTTGACTACATGGGAGTCCAGGGACGTAGCCATTATGCCATCTGCTGGTCCCAGGTTTTAATTTTTAATCATGGTTGATGTGATCCTGTGCTAAGCTCTGAAAGAGTAGTAAATAGCTTAAAGTACTTCAGAATCACATGAACTTATTTCCTTATATTATCAACATACATGGTTGATACAGATATAGTAGCTGTTTTCTTTTTTTAATTTTTGGCTTATCAACTTACAGTTCCCTTCACCCTGGAAACCTCCTCAGGATACTGAGTTTTCTATATGCCGTCTGTCTCAGTGGTAATACTGAGAAAACTACCCAATAAATAACAGTAGTCTTCATATCTTATTAAAATACAAAAACTTTAGGACCAGTAGATGGCGTAATGGTTATGTTGTTGGACTCCCACATAGTCAACCATGGTTCGAGTCCTGGTCCCAGCAGCTTAAAACTCACGCTGGGCACATGTGCACGTGTGCGTGCCCAAAATCTCGACAGAATAGAGGAGAAGGAATTGCAGCACGGCCATACCCCAAGGGAGTGATTTCTCGCCTTCCATCTTGTCTCTCCAGCAAGTGCACATGCCCTATAGCAAAACCGCCCTTTTCTTTTTAAGACAGATAATTTTGTTTTCTGTCTCTCCGGTAAGTGCACGGGCCCTATAGCAAAAATATCTCTCTCTCTCTCTTTTTTTAAAAGAGAGTTTGCTATATGGCATGTGCACTTGCCGGAAAGACAGAAAACAAGAAATCCCCTGGGACCAGCAGGTGGCGTGGTGGTTAAGGCACTGGACACTCCCACATGGCTGACCATGGTTCGAGTCCTGGACCTGGTGGCTTGCTTTCTTACTTTCCTCTCTCTTTCACTGTGTCTCTCTCTGGTCAAATTAAAAAATAAATGGATGAATGAATGAAAAAATAAAAAAATCTTAAAAAAAAAAAAAAAAAAGAAAAGAAAACAAGAAATCCCCACCACCACCAGGGATGGCTACATCACAATCCCTTCTTCTCTATTCTTCTCTTGTGATCTAAGGCAAGTATGCACACGTGCCCAGCCTGAGTTTTAAGTCACTGGGGCCAGGACTGAAACCATGGTCAACTATATGGGAGTCCAGCAAAGTAACCACATTGACATCTGCTGGTCCCACAAAAATCTCACTTAAAAATATATATATATATATAAAACTTCACCATTAGTAAAGAGTCAAATGATCTTAATAATATTTAATACTGACCAGGAACAGTACAAAAAGGCACCATAAAATATTTGTCAAATGAAATTATCATAACATTCTAGTAAAGTGTCCAGTTATATCCAACAGCAATTGGGTTTTATTTTCCTTTAAATTTATCTATCTATTTCTTCTCTGAGTGAGGCAGAGAAAACAGCACTCCCACCAGAGTTGACATTGCAATACCTTCCTCAGTCTCAGGTCATCAGTACACCCTTGCTGGGAGCAGTCAGGGAGGTTTCCAGATAAGAACCACAAGGTTCTCACATGGGTCAGTCTCACAGTGTGTCATGTTATACTGCTGAGTCCTGGTCTGGCCTCCATACAGTAATGCTTTACTTGGATTCTTTTTGAAAAATGAGTTAATACGCTGGTGTAAGCTGCAGTTTTTATACTAAATTAAAATAAAACTTGACTTCTATTTCTGAGATTTATTTAGTTTTTCCTCCTTTATTTACCAGTTTTCACAATGCTTTGGAACACTGAGAAATGTCCAAAGTAATCAATAAAGAGCTTTTTCTATTTTGTAGGTAGGGGATATCATAATGAAATAATTCATTTTAGCATATTTGACATATGTCATCATGACTGGCAGTACTGATTCCTTTTATGACTAAAGTAGAGCCATTATAACTCAACACAGTCAGTTGGACCCTCTTTATTTCAGTTCATGTGTTCTTCCGACCTGTCCAGATTAGTTTCTAATTCCATGTTCTAGAGATATGACTAGAAGACCTACTAATCTCATGCTTCCTGTTCCATACCTGAAATTAGCCATTTCTCTGAGAAGCTCTTATTATTAGTGGAAAATGGCACTTAAAAATATAAATAACCCAGTGATGACATAGTGGTAACACAACTCGACTAACATGGGAAAGGTGCTGTGTTTGCTTATCAGGTCCTCCTTGAGCCTACTGGGATTATGTGGGCATGCCTGTGATCTGGGACAAATGAGATTGGTTGGGAGTGAACTGTGTTGTAAAGATCCTGGTGGCAGTTTCTACTACCTTCATGAACTTAAAAATGCACACACACACATATGAGAACTAGAGTTATTTCTTTTTTTTCTTTTTCTATTTTTAAGAGAGATTTTTTGCTACAGAGTGTGTGCACTTGCCAGAGAGACAGAGACACAGAGACCAAGAAATTGTCCTCCAGGGAGGATGGCCATGCCACAATCCCTTCTCCATTCTTCTCTTGGGATTTTGAATACGCATGCACACACACCTGGCATGAGTTTAAACCACCGAGTTTGAGGGACAAACTATGGTCAACTACGGGAGTGGGTGGGTGGGTATTTCCAGTGACATAATCATTATGCCATCTGTTGGCCCCAGAGTTGTTCATTTCTAGATTGGGGTTGCTTATAGCCATTTTCTGTAGGTCAAGCTAGGAAATACATATTTTATATTTAAGAGAAAAGCATACAGTAAGTTTATACTATAATTTATAATTAAAAGTTAAGTTTTTAGGATTTTTGCTTCTTCAACTTTATTTTTGTATTTCTTTTCTTAGAAATAATAATAAAATTACTTTTTTGCTTTTTCAATATGTTTGTTTTTTAAAAAAGTACCAGGCCAGTTCAGTAACATGATGATTAAGGCAGTTAGATTCTACATGGGTGATCACACAGTTTGAGTCCTGGACCCAATCCAGTAGCTTAAGAAACACACTAGGCATGTGTATGCATGTGCCAAATCCTAAAAGGATGGGGAGATGGAGAAGGGATCATGGTGTGACCATTTGCCAGAGGGTTAGGGGGTGCTTCCTCTTCTCCCTCTCATGCACATGTACATGCACGCACGCACACACACACGCACACACACACACAAATAACAATACTGGTATTCTTTGCTTAGGTTTAATTACTTCATTGAGAAAAATGAGAAAGAGAGAGAGAAAGGAAGATAAGCATCCTCAACAGGGTCTCATACTGATTTCATCCCCCATCCTTCCCAGCCAGTCAGGATATTGGGCGCATGCCTGGCATACACAGGTCAGCTGGGAAACTGAACCTAATCCTCCATATGAGCTAGCACTGCTTAAGCAGCAAGTTATCTAGCCAGTTCAATCTTGCTCTAATAATATTACTAAATATACTTAGGATTTCCTCGCAGTTTTGTTTAACCTTAAAATATATTACATTAGGGATACACAGTCACACTATTATTTTAATTTAAATTCAATTGAAACAATTCTGTGTTCAAGCCATCAACTTAAATACGTTCATTTGTTTCATTTTGTTTCTAAATTTGTTCTTTAACTGTTTAAGAACACCTTAGACTTATATGTGTTTTATAATATGTAAAATATTTAAACAGTTTCAAAATCAAATTTATAAAAGAAGATATATTTGGAGAAATCACAGACCTATCTATAATGCCTACATTGTTTCCTTGTCTTTTTTTTTTTTTTAAGTTTTTGCCATAGGGTGTGTGTGTGCTTGCCAGAGAGAGAGGACAGAGGAAGGAAAGAGGGAAGGAAAGTGAGAAATCGCTCTTGTCCCAGGGGCAGTAAACATGCCACAATCCCTTCTTTTCCATTCTCTCCTTGGGATTTTGGGCATGCACATACACGGGCCTGGTGTGATTTTCAAGTCACTGGGTCTGGGACTCGGACCATGAAGTCAGCCATATGGATGTAGGATCCACCTGCTTTGTCCACATGCCACCTGTGGTCCCTTCTTGCCTTCCAACAAATTATTTTTTTCTATTAGTTTCTGGTAATTGTCTACTTCTAAAAAAATAAATTCATTCTCCCACCCTGTGCAGTATACAACAAGGGAACTTCAGAAAGTTCATGGAAATGAAACTGAAGTATGAGTATTATGGTGCCAAAAAAGAAAGAAATCCATGTAGTTTGTGTAGCATATGTATTATTTTCCATGAACTCTTTGAAGACTTGTATACTTTTATCTGTATCTTGCTTTACTACTTAAAGATCTTGAAAACTACTATACATTATATTATATCAGATCTTTCTAATTTCACAACTAGATGCTCTATAGTTTATTCAACCAGTCCCTAATATTTGTAATCTTGTAATTTACTATAAACAGGACTGCATTTTACATATATACACATGTGCACATATGTGTAAAGACAGGAAAACGATTTAGGAGAAGATAAAAAGTAGTAAGGAAACTAATTTTTATTTAGTCCTAACTATGTGCTAAATATTTCACTGGGCTACTTTAGGCACTTTATATGTTATTTTATTTATTCTGTCAAAATGCTATGAGCAAAAGATATATTCATTTACAGATGAGGGAAATCAGATTAACTTGAGACCAACAGGTGGCGTGGTGGTTAAGTTGCTGGATACTCCCACATGGCCAACCACACTTCGAGAAACAGACCTGGTGGCTTGCTTTCTCACTTTCTCTCTGGTCATATTAAAAAATAAGTGAATGAATAAATAAAATTAAATAATAAATAATTCTTAAAAAAATAGTAAGATTAACTTCATTAATGTGAGAAAGCTGGGTATCACTAAGAGTGAGGCCAAGTCCTTGCCTTAAAAAATAAAAAAAAAACTATATAAGAGAAGGAATAAGAACAAATTTACTGGGGACCAGCAGGTGGCACAGTGGTTAAGGCGCTGGACACTCACACATGGCCAACCATGGTTCAAGTCCTGGACCTGATGGCTTGCTTTCTCACTCTCCCTCTTTCTCTCACTCTCTTTCTGTGTCTCTCTCTTGTCAAATTAAAATAAAATAAGTGAATACATAAAATGAAATAAATAATTCTTAAAAAAAAGGAACAAAGTTATCTATCTATCTATCTATCTATCTATATCTATCTATCTATCTATCTTTATGTAAAGAGAGGCTTTTGTCTGAAAAATCACCGCCCGGGGGAATGGACATGCTGCAATCCCTTCTCCTTCATTCTCTTCTCAGGATTTTGAGCACACATAGACATGCACCCAGCCTGAGTTTTAAGCTGCTGGGTCCCGGACTCAAACTGTGGTTGACTATGTAGGAGTCCAGTGATGTAACTATTTGCTAGTCCCGAACAAAGTTATTTTACCAGCTACGTGGACATATTTTAATTATTTACCCCTAAAATATATTATATAACTGATTTAAGAAGGTAACTTTTAAAAAATTATTTTACTTATTATTATTATTATGTAGAATTCGCTATAGGGCACATGCACTCATCAGAGAGACAGAGAAAGTGAGAAAGCAAGTCACCAGGTCTGAGATTCAAACACAGTAGGCCATATGGGAGTCCAACATCTCAACAACTACATCACTGGCTCCAGAAGGTAACTGTTAAAACTACAGGTCTCAAATATGCCCACACTCACATTAAAAGTATATATGAAAATACTGAATTGATATAAGCAATATTAAAGGGAATATATACTTACTTGGATCACTTAGGTCTAACAAGTTCGAACATGCTGAATCAGCAGGTTGGGGAGATATGATCTCTCTTCTGTTAGTCCTATCATTGTCATCATCATCACTGGACAAAATGATTGGATCACTTAGGTCTAACAAGTTCATTTTTCTATCTTTCAAGTTTGTGATTTTGGGTATTTTTGCTCCAGGTAAAATAACTTTTCCATTAGTCTGTAAATAATTATCACAACTCACAATAATATCAATTGGAACTTTTTCTACACTGTTGCCATAAAACTTCTTAGTTGTTAATCCTGTGTTTTGTGACTTCTGTCCTCCAGCATTCTGATGAATTGATGCTCTTAATAATGGTCCAGTAGATTCATTCAAAGTTATAGCTTGCCTGCAATTTCTTTGCAAACCCTTAGGAAAAAGATTACTGCAACGCTGGCATTTGGTCTGATTTTCTTTTTCTTTTCCACATTTTGGACAGCATTCACGCTGTTCAGAAACCTTTTAAGTTCCAAAGAACAAAAGAAATAACAGACTTAGGTATTTATTTCAACATCAAGAAACCTCAGAAAAAGACTCAAAACTAAGTCTCTACCTCCCTTCACCACCACCATGGCTACAATGAAATCCTGGATAAGTCATGTTAGTAGGGATTTAACATCAGGAATTTTCAAGGCCATTTAGTTATACAAAAACCTTTTATGTCTTCAGGAATCTAAGGATATAATCAAGCCCTCGGTAACAACTAGCTTTAATACTTTAATGTCTATAATAAAGATAGAACATATTTAATAAAAAGAATCCCACATTATTAATGAAATCCCCCTTGTCGAAATGTAAAAAGAAATAGATCCTGACCTATTAGCGTACACCTTTTATCAGCTAAGAAACATATAAATTGGACATGTTTATAACAATCAGAAACAAAATGCAGAACAGCTAAACATTTTTATAATAAAAACAAATGAAGAATTTTATCAATCCACCAGTATAAAAACTAGAATCCCAACACTGCTCAATTAGTTTTTTTAAAGTACATATATAAACTAGTAAATTGTCTTAAAAATTTATTTTAAGTATAATTTCTTTTGGAAAACAAAAATTGATTAAAATCTAATTTTTCCCTTTTGATTAGTGGAAAATGCTACAAAATAAAATAATTCCAAGTCACGATCATATATTATTTACAAGTCTATACATAAATAATAACCAACTATACTTAATAAGAGCAATCCAGTCTTCGATATGACAATGTAGTTTTTATTAAATATCTTAAATATTTAAAATTCTATTGAATTCCGAGATTTTGTTTTCTTACAAGCAGTATATCGTGTGGAATTTTGGAGACTAACATGGAAAGAAAAGCCACTAACCTTGCTTATGAATTAAAGATTACAAAGAGGCTGGCTATATTCTTTATCTCCGCTATGAAGAAAGTAACAATTGGCAAGAAAGTAAAGAGTAAAGGAAGGAAGATTTATTTTAGACAAACTTCTAGAGGAGCTGGACAGTGGTGCAGTGGCAAAACATGACACTCTGCGAGGCTGACTCATATGGAAGGTTCTGGGTCTGTGTCAGGAAACCTTGAGTATGCTAGTACATGTGCCCATGTGCCCATGCTGGCTGAAGCTGGGGGTGATTTGCGGCATCAAGACCCTACTGGTCTGAGGTTCAGCTGGCACACCCAGTTAAGTAAGCATGTTGTGTCTAGAGCAGCTTTTCCCCTTCCCCTCTAATAGCTAGGTCAGGCATCAGGAAATGGATGACCTGAGCCAAGCTTAGGGTGGCATGCCAGGAGACAGATCACATAAAGTGAAATTGAGCAAATAAGTAAATACGCTGGGTATAATGAGAGTCAGGTTTCTCACTATCTGAAAAGGGAGTTACAAATATGCAAAATGGGAAAGAGTAAAACCTACATTATTGTGTTGGACTAGAACTAGAAATATCAGTATGAATTCACAGATTTTAATATATATTAAATATCAATACATACACACACATTTACTTCCTAGATCTGTCCACTGAGAAACAATGATGCCCCATACCAATGAATGTAACTAGTGCCCACATATATTACCCTCCACTTAAAGGAATAATAGCTACTTAGAGAAATACATAACTCTTGGCCTCAGAGAAAATATAAGGCCAGATCATCTTGTTATAGCAAAAAGTAAAAAAGTGCTCAAAGAATGTTAATTATATGTTAAAAAAAAAAAATGGCCAACCTGAAAGGACTCCCATGAACCAAATCTGGAATAATTTAAGCATCAAAATAAAAATAATGAAAGTCAAATAAGAATCCTTGTGTCCAAAAATGAATGAATAAGTAAACACTGATAAAGTTATACCTTAGAAGTCCTCTTAGTAAGTAAATATAGAAATACCTATTATCTAACTTTATATCAGAAAAATGTAGAAAAGAACAACTAAGGTAAAAGTTAGTATTGGCATCTGATGTGGGAAAAAAAATTAAAAACACTCTATGTGTCCTGATACGATGCAATGATGTTATAGCATCACTTCAGAGGAATTCCTGAAAAATGTTTAAATTGTGAAGAAATATCAGACAAGCAGAACTTGAGTACAAAGTAAGTAGTCTATATTCCTCACAAATGGAAGGCAAAGGAAGACTACAGATAGATTTATAATAATTAAATGTAACACATGGTCCTGAATGGGATCCTGTACTTATAAAGGACATTATTCAGGTGAAATATGAATGGAGTTTGTGGATTATTATACATAATAATTTTGGATCAGTGTTAATTTCTGATTTTTGTACTCCACTTATATTGGAGAAAACCCTCCCTGCCTGTTTATAAGAAGGAAACACACACTAGGAAGTGGTAAATGAGCACTATGCTGACAGGCAAATGGTGCAGAAAAATACATATATCCATGTGGGAGGGAGGGAAGGAGAAAGGAAAGCAAAGTGAATGCGGAAAAATGGGAAATCTGGGGGGAAGCTATCTTTTCTGCTATTTTTTCAGCTTTTCTGCAAAAGGCACTGATAAATTCTTTTTAAAAAAATTCAGTATTTTGCTTAGGTAAAAAATGGTCTATTGAAGGTAGAAAGGTTTGTCTAAATCTTTCTAGGTATCTGCAAGTCCTATGATATAAGTTCACTTAGAATTTAATAAATACTAAAAATAACACTAGTAAAATTATCATTTGATTAGCAACAAATAATAATTTCTCTACCCACCTCTAAGTGGGTTAAACATTTTTTTGAAGCAGGAGACAGAGGAGGAGTAGGCTGAAAGGTACTACAGTGCCTTTTCTGTTGTACTTTCCTCTTAATTTCGGGCTCCATGTGTGATTCGGAGTCTTCTGTTTTCTTTACTACACGTTCTAAAGAAAAGATAAAAAAAATACTGAATTAAATTTTATAAATTTATAATGATCTTTGCTATGAAAAAATATTATATTCTCAAACAGTAAGTTTTAGTTAAAATAAAGACGTTCAAATATGCAAGATAAAAAAAGAACCAGAATTTTTGGCCAGCAGTCCTAATTTGGCTACTCTTTTCTATTTGTCATTCCTCAGCAGGATCTCCACAATGTGGACCACTTTGACAAGAGTATCAATATTCTCTTCAGCATACCGAGTACTACTAAGACACACTTCCTGTGCTTAATCATACATACTATTCTTTTTTCCCAACTTAGTTAATTCTTCTTATATTAGTAATGAGAAAAATCAGAATCTAAACATTTGGTATAATTGTATAGATAAAGGAAACTAATTCAGAAGCTAACATTTTTTAAGTTCAAGAAAAACAAAACAATATCCCTCATTATTTTTTTAAGTAAATTTAATCATTTTTTAAAGGATACAATTAGAATTTTTTTAATGATATGATGAACTCCGAAACAGGGCAATTTAAAATTTACAACAATCTGTCTTATCAGCAAACTTTTAATTATATAAGTGGCCAAAGATGTTTCTAAAACAAACGTTAATGAGTCTATAAGCCAGGGCTGGCCCCACAATGCAGTGGTTACTTTCTGCGCAGGAGCCAACTTGGCCCCGGTGGCTTGAAAAACAGGCCAGGCACTTGGGCACATGTCCAAAATTCTGACAGGAAGGAGAAATGGAGGGAAAAGGATTGCAGTGTGACAGGCCCATTTAGTGGACTTTCTCTTTCTCTCAGCAGACTGCAGGTGCCATCTAGCAACACATTATAAAAAGTATAAAAAAGAATCTAGAAACTGAAATTCCTACCTACATAATTCCAATTTTATTAAATACTTCTATTTTCTACCCTTAATATCATTGTATCTATTATTATTTTAATTGTCAGAGGCTGTGTGGACTGCCAGAAATAGAGAGAGAGAGAAGGAAAGGAAGAAAAAAACACCAACTAGGATGTTCACAAACAATTCCTTCTTACCCATTTCTTTCCTGTTGAGATTTTGGGAATGAATGCACATGTGAATGATGTGTTTCTCAAGCTGCTAACGCTGGGAATCAAACAGTTGGCCATGTAGAATCTGGTTTCCTTAATTACTAGACCAGGGGCTGGCTCTGATTTTTTTTTTTTTAAAAGATTACATACACATAAAAATATACATTAATATTAGGTTTGTTGGGCCAGTAGGTGGCATGGTGGTTGATGCACTGTACTACCACATGATTGACCATGGTTCTAGTCCTAGACCTGGCGGCTTACTTTCTTACTTTCCTTCTTTTTCTCTGTCTGTCATAAGCACATGTGTCCTATAGCAAATTAAATAATAATAATAAAATCCTTTCAATGTATTAGGTTACATAATAAGGTAGGTTGTTTTTTAACTTGCCAGAGAAGATAGTGGGGGTTGGGGGATAGTCAATCTGCAATTCCTTCTCCATTTCTCACTTTTCAGAATTTTGAGCATGCATGCAGCACATGCAACTAGCATGAAAAACAGAAGTTTCTCAAGCCACCAACTCCAAGACTAGAAATTGTGCAATTAGTCATATGGGAGCCAGCCACCTTAACCACCATGTGACCAGCTAGTCCTACCATTTATTACTTGTATTCATTCACTCATATTTTTGTTCATTTATTTAATTGGACCAGATCATTCACTCATTTATTTATTTAATTTGACCAGAGAGAGAGAGATGGAAAGTGATAAAACAAGCTGCCAGGTCTGGGATTCGAACTGTGGTTGGCCATGTGGGAGTGTCCAGCACTTTAACCACCATGCCACCTGCGGAACCCCCTACCATATTTTAAAAAGAAATCTATATAATTATTCTTGCTTAGTGTAATCAGTTTCACAAAGTGATTATTACCCTTTGAGCCTTTCTTTATACCTACCTGTTTTCCTAAACATCAAAGCTAGAAATTTAAGTGTTGACTACTTCTTGTCCCTCTCTCCTCACTTTCAAAGAATTCTACCTTCTAACAACTCTTAAATTCACTTTCCCCTCTTCAACCACACTGCCACTACATTTCAGATGTTTAACTCTTGCCTGAACTGCTTTCTCTCACTTCAGTTATTTTCCTTTCAAATCCTTCTCTACTACAGCCAAAATGACCTAGTCCAAAAATGTGACCTTGTAGTTCTTTTTTATTTTATTGACAGAGGGCAATGTATTTGCCAAAGACAGATGGAGAGAAAGAAATAAATTATCCTCCAATGGGATGTCGTTGTGTTAAAATCCCTTCTCTTCCATCTGCATCCTGTTGGGATACTGGTCATGCAATGGGAGGTTTTTGTTTTTGTTTTTTTTTAATTTTTTGAGAGTTTTTTTTTTTTTGCTACAGGGCGCGTGCGTTCGCCAGCCAGCCAGAGAGAGACAGACAGACAGAAAGCGAGAAATCACCCCCCAGGGGGGATGGCCATGCCGCAATCCCTTCTCCTCCATTCTCCTCTTGGGATCTTGGGCATGCACGCACACATGCCCAGTGTGAGTTTAAGCTACTGGGTCCGAGACTCAAACTGCAGTCGGCTACGTGGGAGTCCAGCGACATAGCCATTACACTAACTGCTGGCCCCGCAACTGGAGTTTTCAAGCCACTAAGGACTAACTTTGAACCATTAGGGATAGGACTCAATTGCAGTTGGCCATGTGGGATCCAGCTCCCTTAGCCACCAAGCCACAGGACAAGACTATCATTCTATCTACAAATCCTTCCATGATTCCTATAGCTAATGTAAAAAGCTCTTAACCAAACCCCGTATCTTGGCAAGCAAAAGTTGCTGTTGATGTTTTGGTCTTACTTATGATCAAACTTTGCTTCAGAGAGATGTATTTTTCCAGGGTGTTTTCTGTTTCACCCTCTTCCATATGATGTTCTCTTCATAAACAAACCTTATCTACTCGTGAATTCAAACTCTTCTTTGTTAAAAACAAACCAACAAACAAAAGCTGCCTCTGCCCCACCATGAGCACAATTAAGCAATCCTTGATAATTCCTTTACACTTTATCCATACCTCTAATACCAATCATTTTATTTAACTGCATTATTTATACTGATCTATTCCCCCATTATAGTTAGTTCTGAAAGAGTAGAAATCATGTTTAATGTTTCCTAGCATCTATCAATAGAAACTGTGCAAGGGAGGGCTTGAGAAATGTTTATTGGATTAATTAATCACATAAAACTATGTAACATATTTTTAAAAAAAAAGATAAATGGAGAAAAGTGATGCTGTTACTAGGTTATCTCTGAAACCGGCTTAACCTTTGCCACACAGATAATGACTGACACACAGATCTAGAACCATAAGGATTTACTTAGCCTCTAGCCAGGGACAGTAACTAAAAAGTATCCCCCTTTTCTCTTGCAAGATCTAAATAAAGCCTGAGGTTACGGAGAAGATATGCCAGTCCAGAGCATTAAGGTGTTCGTAATTATTTCTATGAGGGCTTATTAGTTTGTTGATTGATGAGATATAGATAGCAGTTTCTATATATGTGATTGTATGTAACTCTGCCACTACATGCAGAAAAGGGGGCAGATATTTTAGAATTCGGAAAATAAACAAATATAGTCATCAGAAACACATATACAGTTACTTGAAAATTTTATTTTATAGGAGAGAGACTTAAAACATGGGTTAAACTAAGGTTTATGGCATTGCTAAATTCTATAATGTACATGAAGTTTTTCCTTATATATGTTTTACTAATTTCTGTAGCTGCACAGTACCCTTGCACATTACTTTGATCATCTACTTATCTACTTTATTTTCTGCCAGATCCTACTTAGAGATTGACATTTTAGAAACTACTATAATTTTTCTCCTGATGTTTTAATCGTACTCTTCCCTCGACCACAGCTATCTCATTATGCCTAAGTCACTCTTTCTCTACCATCATGAGTAACAACGTCAAAAACAACTGGCCTAAGCTGAGATCACTGAAGATTCTTAGTGATAACATGCAAAGAAAAATCATATTAAAATATGGATCCCTAAATTAAGATTATCTACAAAGTTATGAAGGAAACATAAAGAAGGCAAGGAATAACATAATTAGGAATTTTAAAATAAAACAATTGAAACCAATGTGGTGTGCAGGTATGGCAAAAGACTGCAGTGTTACAGGAAATTAAGGTAAATTTACAAAGAGATAAGTATTAAATATAAAAATGTTACTATTTGGGTAAAAATTGTTTCAGAATTCTATCTTCCAGGGTAAGAAGGGAAAAGCATCTGAGGTTATGCTAACTAATTACAAATTATAGTCAGGAGGCTGCGTCCGGTCGCGGGACCTCGCGGGCCCTTCCGGGCTCTGCGTGTCCCCCCGGGGCCCTGCTAAGCCGGCGGCGGCAGGAGGCGGGCCGGGCGCCAAGGCTGCATCCGGCCTGGGGACGTCGCGGGCCCTTCCGGGCTCTGCGTGTCCCCCCGGGGCC